TGAAAGGAGGTCATAGAAGGCATCTGACTCATCGGCTTTGCCTGCATCCCTCCACGGATGTTCATCTTCGGTGGGGGCATAAGTAACCACGACCACCATTCCTCGCCTCCGGTTGATGGGAAGGCGAGCCCAAAGTAGCCTGGGGCTTACAGCTTCCCACACCTCACCGCCACGCTCCCACGCCCCCTTCATTCTTTTGTTCAAAAGAAGACCCACACCCTGTTGTTTGGCAGTCTGCTGCCCCGAGTAGAGGACTGTCCACCCCTCATGGTGGCAGGAGCCAGAGCCGGTCCACCGGACCTCCTGAATGCCGCATAGATCCAGGCGGTACCGGTCCAGCTCCCGACAGAGGAGTGGCAGCCTCTCCTCTGCAGTGAGCGTTCGAACATTCCACGTGGCCACCCGTAGTGGCTTTTCGTTGTTTCTGGAGTAGCCCCGAGGGTAGGTATTCAATCTCCTGGCTCCGCCAATTGGGGTTTGGCCAGGAGACGTCATAGACGCCTGGCCCCCCGGGGCCTCCGGCACAAGCTTAGTTGTTACATATTTCACTTTAATTCGTGGTTTTGTGGTAATTAATTGAAGGTGGAGGGGTTACCAGCCCCTCGCACCCGTCCAGAGCCCCCGTTTAGCCCCTGTGGTGGACACATATGCCATGAGGGGAGGAGCCAATCAAAATTGGAACTCCCCCCACAGCACTGTCCACGACAGAGTTGCCCGTCCGGCACCGCGAGGAGGTAGGGGGTTGTTTTGCCCACACAAACACAGACACACCTACACAGACACACACCCACACAGACACACACCCACACAGACACACACCCACACAGACACACACCCACACAGACACACACCCACACACACCCACCCAGACACACACACACAGACACACACACAGAAACACCCACACAAACACACCCACACAGACACACACCCACACAGACACACACCCACACAGACACACACCCACACAGACACACACCCACACACACCCACCCAGACACACCCACACAGAAACACCCACACAAACACACCCACACAGACACACCCACACAGACACACCCACACAGACACACAGACACACCCACACAGACACACAAGCACACAGACACACACACACAGACACACACCCACACAGACATACAGACACACTCACACAGACAACAACAACAACAACCGCCATTCGCCACTAAGTGGCGGTGACGTCACCACGACGCTTGTGCCAGGCTATGTGCACCCTGAGGCCACGTGAAGTGTCGAACGCCCGCTGGCAGGAGGTCACGGGGCAGACCCAGGTGCCACGGGTCGACTGACTGAGATGACTGGCTGATGCACCACCTGTGCCCCCTACTGTGCCAACCTGCTGTGCTTTAGCCACCCGGCGCTCCGCTCGCTGTTGTGAGCGTCGCTCCTCCGCCCTCCGTTGTTGTTGGAGGGCGACTGCCTCCAACTGCCCAGTAGCATCCTTCACGAGCCTCCTCCACAGAGGCCGATCTTGACACCGCTGGTACCAGTCATCGGCAAGTCCACTCAGCTCCACGTCCTCCTGTACCACATCACTCCATCTCTTCTCTAGCCCGTGCCGCGCCCGCTTAGCCCCCTCAATCCGGCCAAACAAAAGCTGTTTCGGCATGCGGTGGCTGGGCATGCGGGCTACATGACCCAGCCATCGCAGCCTTGCCTGCCGGAGGAGCTCACCGATGGGACCCTGCCCAGATCTTTCAAGGATTTGTGAGCTCCTCACACAATCCAGTCTGGTTAAACCCAGGATGGATCGTAGGCAGGCCAGCCTAAATGTTTCTAACCGGCGAAGATGTTCCATTAGGGGGGTCCACGTTTCGCAAGCGTAGAGAAGGGAGGGAATGACCGTGGCCGAGAAGACCTGAAGCTTAGTGCGGAGCGACAGACCAGGTAGCTTCCACACAGCGTTACGCAACCGATGAAAAGATATTGCCGCTCGACTGATTCGGAGTGAGACCTCTGCTGTTAAACTGGAGCCAGTCATAAGCACACTGCCCAGGTATGGGAAACTCTCCACTCTCTCCACAACTGCCCCATCACCGATTGGGAGTTGTGGGGGTGGAGTGTCCGATGGTACAAAATACCCAGGCAGGTGCTTAGTTTTGGTGGGGCTGATGGTAAAGGCCCCACCTCTTAGTGGCACGCTCCAGTCTCAGCAGCAGCGTCTCCAACTCCTCCTCTGACTGAGCAGCTATTACCAAGTCATCAGCATACATAACGTGGTTGAGCAATAGGGAGCCATCCCTTGACCGCACCCGGGCATCGATTAGCCTCCCATTATATCTGTACCATATGGAGATTCCCCCGGTACAGCTATTGAAGGCTTCACGAACTACGTGGTCAAAATAGATGTTAAATAATGTGGGAGCCAGAGGACATCCCTGTCGCACCCCAAGGTGTACAGGGAATGGCTCTGACTCCCGGCCACGTAGTTTTACCCGGGCCCGCTCACCATCATGAAGGTCCTTAATGATCGTGAGCAGAGGGTCAGGTACTCCAAAAGCACGAAGAATGACCCAGAGCCCAGGCCTACTGATGGTATCATAGGCCTTGACCAGGTCAATAAAGCAGAGATGTAGGTCTTGTTGGAATTCCCTACACCTCTGCTGTAGCAGACGGACAGAAAATAAGGCATCTGTGCAGGACCGCCCTTTCCTGAAACCGCATTGGGGCTCCGCAAGCCTCTCCTCAGCGTGCCTGGCAAGGCGATGCTGAATAATCCTTGCCAGGACCTTTCCCGGCACACTGAGGAGTGAGATGCCCCTGTAGTTGTTACAGTCTGTGCGGTCCCCCTTCTTAAAAAGGGGGACCACCAGGGCATCCTTCCAATCCTGCGGAACCCGTCCAGTGGTCCAGACTGTTGTTATGATGTCATATAGGGCAGTCTGTGCACAAACGCCACCCTCCCTCAGCATTTCGCTTGGGAGATCATCTCTGCCCGCTGCCTTTCCTGGTCTCAGACTCCGGATCGCCTTCAATACTTCCTCAGCAGATGGTACCTCAGCCAGCCACTCACAGGGGGTGACTTCATCCAATATTTGAGGCACCACAGCCTCAGCAGGGTCATCCTCACTTTGTGCCACGATGTTTTCCTGGCTGAGGGATTTTCCCTCCCCCAGGACCTCACAGAAATGCTCAGCAAATCTGCGAACCTGTTCCTGGGGGTCGGAAATTGGATCACCGTTTTTTCCCCTAATGATGGTAATAGGTGTGGCGCTGCAGGTTACTTTTTTGATGGAGTTAAATTGAGATTTGTGATCACGGGCCACTGAGGCAGACTCCATCTCCTCAGCAACCCGCGACCACCACCCATCCTTGCAGCGCCTCACGGCTCTCCGAACCTCCGAGCGAAGGCTGCGGTAAGCCTCCTCATTGTCTGACGTGGGATTCTGTAGCCGATGACAGTGGGCCTGTCGCTTTTTCTCAACCATCGTGAACAACTCCTCTGTCATCCAGGGTGTCTGGGGAGGTCTGGACCGCGTACCCAAAGCAGCCATTGCAGCTGCATGAGTCACAGTCCTAAACCTCGCCCATTTACCCTCGACATCAGGAGGAGTCGGGGACGATGCCAATCCCAGCCGCAAGCGATGATGAAATTCTCGCTTGCAACTTTCATCAGATAACTGAGACCAGGCCACTTTAGGTTGGAATGGGGTCCTGGGTGTACACCCACCACCGGAGTGGAAGAATGGCAGGCGCATCTTACAGATGACTAGTCGATGGTCAGAGGGCAGATCAGCTCCACGGTAGGTCCTGGTGTCAAGGACATGGGCTCGCATTCGCTGGTCCGTCACTATGTAGTCCAGCAGATGTTCTTGCTTGGACCCGGCATGCATCCATGATGTTGTGTGGATGCGCCGATGCCGGAACAGCGTGTTGGTAATTACAAGCCCATGGGCTGCACAAAAATCTAGCAGCCTCCTACCGTTGTTATTGAGCTGATCTGGCCCATGCCCTCCAATCACTCCAGACCAGGTGCCAGTATCATGACCAACTCGGGCATTGAAGTCACCCAACATGATGACTCTATCCCGAGGGGCCACTTTAGCCAGCACCTGTGACAGGAGGTCATAGAAGGCATCTGACTCATCGGCTTTGCCTGCATCCCTCCACGGATGTTCATCTTCGGTGGGGGCATAAGTAACCACGACCACCATTCCTCGCCTCCGGTTGATGGGAAGGCGAGCCCAAAGTAGCCTGGGGCTTACAGCTTCCCACACCTCACCGCCACGCTCCCACGCCCCCTTCATTCTTTTGTTCAAAAGAAGACCCACACCCTGTTGTTTGGCAGTCTGCTGCCCCGAGTAGAGGACTGTCCACCCCTCATGGTGGCAGGAGCCAGAGCCGGTCCACCGGACCTCCTGAATGCCGCATAGATCCAGGCGGTACCGGTCCAGCTCCCGACAGAGGAGTGGCAGCCTCTCCTCTGCAGTGAGCGTTCGAACATTCCACGTGGCCAACCGTAGTGGCTTTTCGTTGTTTCTGGAGTAGCCCCGAGGGTAGGTATTCAATCTCCTGGCTCCGCCAATTGGGGTTTGGCCAGGAGACGTCATAGACGCCTGGCCCCCCGGGGCCTCCGGCACAAGCTTAGTTGTTACATATTTCAGTTTAATTCGTAGTTTCGTGGTAATTAATTGAAGGTGGAGGGGTTACTAGCCCCTCGCACCCGTCCAGAGCCCCCGTTTAGCCCCTGTGGTGGACACATATGCCATGAGGGGAGGAGCCAATCAAAATTGGATCTCCCCCCACAGCGCTGTCCACGACAGAGTTGCCCGTCCGGCACCACACAGACACACCCACACAGACACACACACAGATACACAGACACAGACACACCCACACAGACACATACCCACACGCCAGGTGAGGGTGGGGTCACGCCAGGTGAGGGTGGGTGGGGTCACGCCAGGTGAGGGTGGGTGGGGTCACGCCAGGTGAGGGTGGGGTCACGCCAGGTGAGGGTGGGTGGGGTCACGCCGTACCACACGAGTCCCGCCGACTGTCCCTGGCTCTTGGCCTTCTCGTACTGAACCTTGGCCACGACCTTTTCCTTCACGACGCCCACGTACAGCTCCTGGTCTATCACCCTGCGGGGTCACGCCGGGGTCACGCCGGGGTCATGCCGGGGGGGGGGGGTGGGGGGCAAGGTGGGGGAGGGAGCACAGAAATTCACGGGGGGACATCGAAGGAGACTCAAGAGAGACCCACATGGGAGAGCCCACGTGGGGACGCGGGTGAACGCGTGGATGACACGTGACGGATGAGTTGGGGGCAATCGAGCGAGCGGCGGGGTGAGCGAGCATTGGGGTGAGCGAACGGTGGGGTGAGCAAGCATCGGGGTGAGCGAGCGGTAAGGTGAGCGAGGGCCGAGCGAGCAGCGGGGTGAGCGAGCGGCGGGTTGAGCGAGGGGTGAGCGAGCGGGGGAGTGAGCGAGCGGCAGGGTGAGCGAGCATCGGGGCGAGCGAGCGGTGAGGTGAGCGAGGGGTGAGCGAGCGGTGAGGCGAGCGAGCGAGGGGCGAGCGAGCGGCGAGGTGAACGAACGGTGGGGTGAGCGAGCGGCGAGGTGAGCGAGGGGTGAGCGAACGGTGGGGTGAGCGAATGGCGGGGTGAGTGAGCATTGGGGTGAGCGAGCGGTGGGATGAGCGAGCATCGGGGTCTAGCGAGCGAGCGGCGGGGCGAGCGAGCGTACATGGTGAAGTTTGAGATGAAGGCGTGCTCCGGTAGCTGGACGAGGAAGGTTGTCTCGCGGGAGTGCCCGCCGCGGTTCTTGAGGCGCGCCGTGGTCACGGTGTCGACGAATCGGGACGTCACGCGCGACTCCACGTGCAGGCTGTGCAGCTCGATGCCGTCCACGGAGATGTCCTAGAGCGGGGGGGACATAGCGGGGACACAGCGGGGACACAGCGGGGACACAGGGATACAGGCGAGCCGCTGGCGTGGTGAGGACGTCCTTGGTGGTGGGCGACGAGACGGGGTGGGCGGGGTGGGGGAGGCAGCCGCGGCAATGGATTTCATTCGGCTTCACCAAAGCCGCTGTCTTCTCATCTCTTATCGCGGACAAACATCCTCGCTATCTCGCCGCCCACCCCACGCCAGGCCTCGCTCGCCCGAGCGGGGTGGAGGTCATGTTTGTCGTCTGGACTTCATGCCGGAGAGCGATGGAATTTGTCGGTGGCTTCCAAAGCAAAACAAGAGCGGGCACCAACTGGACCCATAGACTTACACAGGACCCATAGACTTTACATAGGGCCCATAGACTTCACAGGACCCATAGACTTACATAGGACCCATAGACTTACATAGGACCCATAGACTTACACAGGACCCATAGACTTTACATAGGACCCATAAACTTACACAGGACCCATAGACTTACATAGGACCCATAGACTTACATAGGACCCATAGACTTACATAAGACCCATAGACTTACAGATGACCCATAGACTTTACATAGGACCCATAGACTTACATAGGACCCATAGACTTACAGATGACCCATAGACTTTACATAGGACTGATAGACTTACATAGGACCCATAGACTTACATAGAACCCATAAACTTACACAGGACCCATAGACTTACACAGGACCCATAGACTTTATATAGGACCCATACACTTACACAGGACCCATAGACTTTACATAGGACCCATAGACTTTACATAAGACCCATAGACTTACATAGGACCCATAGACTTACAGATGACCCATAGACTTTACATAGGACCCATAGACTTACATAGAACCCATAGACTTAGATAAGACCCATAAACTTACATAGGACCCATAGACTTACACAGGATCCATAGACTTACATAGGACCCATAGACTTTACATAGAACCCATAGACTTAGATAAGACCCATAGCCTTACATAGGACCCATAGACTTACATAGGACCCATAGACTTACAGATGACCCATAGACTTACATAGGACCCATAGACTTACATAGGACCCATAGACTTACATAGGACCCATAGACTTACATAGAACCCATAGACTTAGATAAGACCCATAGCCTTACATAGGACCCATAGACTTACATAGGACCCATAGACTTACAGATGACCCATAGACTTACATAGGACCCATAGACTTACATAGGACCCATAGACTTACATAGGACCCATAGACTTACATAGAACCCATAAACTTACACAGGACCCATAGACTTACATAGGACCCATAGACTTACATAGGACCCATAGACTTACATAGGACCCATACACTTACACAGGACCCATAGACTTTACATAGGACCCATAGACTTACATAGAACCCATAGACTTAGATAAGACCCATAAACTTACATAGGACCCATAGACTTACACAGGACCCATAGACTTACATAGGACCCATAGACTTTACATAGAACCCATAGACTTAGATAAGACCCATAGCCTTACATAGGATCCATAGACTTACATAGGACCCATAGCCTTACATAAGACCCATAGACTTACATAGAACCCATAGACTTAGATAAGACCCATAGACTTACATAGGACCCATAGACTTACACAGGACCCATAGACTTACAGATGACCCATAGACTTTACATAGGACCCATAGACTTACATAGAACCCATAGACTTAGATAAGACCCATAAACTTACATAGGACCCATAGACTTACACAGGACCCATAGACTTACATAGGACCCATAGACTTTACATAGAACCCATAGACTTAGATAAGACCCATAGCCTTACATAGGACCCATAGACTTACATAGGACCCATAGACTTACAGATGACCCATAGACTTACATAGGACCCATAGACTTACATAGGACCCATAGACTTACATAGGACCCATAGACTTACATAGAACCCATAGACTTAGATAAGACCCATAGCCTTACATAGGACCCATAGACTTACATAGGACCCATAGACTTACAGATGACCCATAGACTTACATAGGACCCATAGACTTACATAGGACCCATAGACTTACATAGGACCCATAGACTTACATAGAACCCATAAACTTACACAGGACCCATAGACTTACATAGGACCCATAGACTTACATAGGACCCATAGACTTACATAGGACCCATACACTTACACAGGACCCATAGACTTTACATAGGACCCATAGACTTTACATAAGACCCATAGACTTACACAGGACCCATAGACTTACATAGGACCCATATACTTACACAGGACCCATATACTTTACATAGGACCCATAGACTTTACATAAGACCCATAGACTTACACAGGACCCATAGACTTACATAGGATCCATAGACTTACATAGGACCCATAGCCTTACATAAGACCCATAGACTTACATAGAACCCATAGACTTAGATAAGACCCATAGACTTACATAGGACCCATAGACTTACACAGGACCCATAGACTTACAGATGACCCATAGACTTTACATAGGACCCATAGACTTAGATAAGACCCATAGACTTACATAGGACCCATAGACTTTACATAGGACCCATAGACTTACATAGGACCCATAGACTTACACAGGACCCATAGACTTACACAGGGCCCATAGACTTACACAGGACCCATATACTTACACAGGACCCATATACTTTACATAGGACCCATAGACTTTACATAAGACCCATAGACTTACGCAGGACACATAGACTTACACAGGACCCATAGACTTACATAGAACCCATAGACTTAGATAAGACCCATAGACTTACATAGGACCCATAGACTTACACAGGACCCATAGACTTACAGATGACCCATAGACTTTACATAGGACTGATAGACTTACATAGGACCCATAGACTTACATAGAACCCATAAACTTACACAGGACCCATAGACTTACACAGGGCCCATAGACTTACACAGGACTCATAGACTTACACAGGACCCAAAGACTTACATAGGAGCCATAGACTTACATAGAACTGATAGACTTACATAGGACCCATAGACTTACATAGGACCCATAGACTTACATAGAACTGATAGACTTACACAGGACCCATAGACTTACACAGGGGTGTGTTTAAAATTACTCGTTGTTCTCACTAACAGCACTTGCCCCAACCGTCTGTTAAGACTATACGAGATGTCTTTGTCTTTGTATACACAATAAAGACATTTTGTATGGTGATGTTGGGTGATGACGTTGGGTGATGAGTGGTGATGTTGATGATGCCTGGTGATGTTGATGATGGGTGGTGATGTTGGATGATGGCTGGTGATGTTGGGTGGTGATGTTGATGATGGGTGGTGATGTTGGATGATGGGTGGTGATGTTGGGTGGTGATTTTGATGATGAGTGGTGATGTTGGATGATGAGTGGTGATGTTGGATGATGGGTGGTGATGTTGATGATGAGTGGTGATGTTGGATGATGGGTGGTGTTGGTGATGGGTGGTGATGTTGGATGATGAGTGGTGATGTTGGATGATGAGTGGTGATGTTGATGATGAGTGGTGATGTTGATGATGAGTGGTGATGTTGATGATGAGTGGTGATGTTGATGATGAGTGGTGATGTTGATGATGGGTGGTGATGTTGTATGATGGGTGGTGATGTTGATGATGGGTGGTGATGTTGGATGATGCCTGGTGATGTTGATGATGAGTGGTGATGTTGGATGATGAGTGGTGATGTTGGATGATGGGTGGTGATGTTGGATGATGGGTGGTGATGTTGATGATGAGTGGTGATGTTGGATGATGAGTGGTGATGTTGATGATGAGTGGTGATGCTGATGATGGGTGGTGATGTTGGATGATGGCTGGTGATGTTGATGATGGGTGGTGATGTTGGATGATGAGTGGTGATGTTGATGATGGTTGGTGATGTTGGGTGATGGGTGGTGATGTTGGGTGATGAGTGGTGATGTTGATGATGAGTGGTGATGTTGGATGATGAGTGGTGATGTTGATGATGAGTGGTGATGTTGATGATGAGTGGTGATGTTGGATGATGGGTGGTGATGTTGATGATGAGTGGTGATGTTGGATGATGAGTGGTGATGTTGGATGATGGGTGGTGATGTTGATGATGAGTGGTGATGTTGGATGATGGGTGGTGATGTTGATGATGAGTGGTGATGTTGATGATGAGTGGTGATGTTGGATGATGAGTGGTGATGTTGATGATGAGTGGTGATGTTGATGATGAGTGGTGATGTTGATGATGAGTGGTGGTGTTGGATGATGCCTGGTGATGTTGGATGATGAGTGGTGATGTTGGATGATGGGTGGTGATGTTGGATGATGAGTGGTGATGTTGGATGAAGAGTGGTGATGTTGATGATGGGTGGTGATGTTGATGATGAGTGGTGATGTTGGATGATGAGTGGTGATGTTGATGATGGGTGGTGATGTTGGATGATGAGTGGTGATGTTGGATGATGGGTGGTGATGTTGGATGACGGCTGGTGATGTTGATAATGGGTGGCGATGTTGATGATGAGTGGTGATGTTGATGATGGGTGGTGATGTTGGATGATGCCTGGTGATGTTGATGATGGTTGGTGATGTTGGATGATGGGTGGTGATGTTGATGATGGGTGGTGATGTTGGATGATGAGTGGTGATGTTGATGATGGGTGGTCATGTTGATGATGGGTGGTGATGTTGGATGATGAGTGGTGATGTTGATGATGGTTGGTGATGTTGGATGATGAGTGGTGATGTTGATGATGGGTGGTCATGTTGATGATGGGTGGTGATGTTGGATGATGAGTGGTGATGTTGATGATGGTTGGTGATGTTGGATGATGAGTGGTGATGTTGATGATGGGTGGTCATGTTGATGATGGGTGGTGATGTTGGATGATGAGTGGTGATGTTGATGATGGGTGGTGATGTTGGATAATGAGTGGTGATGTTGGATGATGAGTGGTGATGTTGATGATGAGTGGTGATGTTGATGATGGGTGGTGATGTTGGATGATGGCTGGTGATGTTGATGATGGGTGGTGATGTTGATGATGGGTGGTGATGTTGATGATGAGTGGTGATGTTGGATGATGAGTGGTGATGTTGATGATGAGTGGTGATGTTGGATGATGCCTGGTGATGTTGATGATGGTTGGTGATGTTGGATGATGAGTGGTGATGTTGATGATGGGTGGTGATTTTGATGATGAGTGGTGATGTTGATGATGAGTGGTGATGTTGGATGATGAGTGGTGATGTTGATGATGAGTGGTGATGTTGGATGATGAGTGGTGATGTTGATGATGGGTGGTGATGTTGATGATGGGTGGTGATGTTGATGATGAGTGGTGATGTTGATGATGAGTGGTGATATTGGATGATGGGTGGTGATGTGGATGATGAGTGGTGATGTTGGATGATGAGTGGTGATGTTAATGATGGGTGGTGATGTTGATGATGGGTGGTGATGTTGATAATGGGTGGTGATGTTGATGATGGGTGGTGATGTTGATGATGAGTGGTGATGTTGATGATGAGTGGTGATGTTGGATGATGGGTGGTGATGTTGGATGATGAGTGGTGATGTTGATGATGGGTGGTGATGTTGATGATGAGTGGTGATGTTGGATGATGAGTGGTGATGTTGATGATGGGTGGTGATGTTGATGATGGGTGGTGATGTTGATGATGAGTGGTGATGTTGATGATGAGTGGTGATATTGGATGATGGGTGGTGATGTGGATGATGAGTGGTGATGTTGATGATGGGTGGTGATGTTGATGATGAGTGGTGATGTTGGATGATGAGTGGTGATGTTGATGATGAGTGGTGATGTTGATGATAGGTGGTGATGTTGGATGATGCCTGGTGATGTTGATGATGGGTGGTGATGTTGATGATGGGTGGTGATGTTGGATGATGACTGGTGATGTTGATGATGAGTGGTGATGTTGATGATGGCTGGTGATGTTGCTGATGGGTGGTGATGTTGATGATGGCTGGTGATGTTGATGATGAGTGGTGATGTTGATGATGGCTGGTGATGTTGCTGATGGGTGGTGATGTTGATGATTGGTCGTGATGTTGGATAATGTTTGGTGATGTTGGAAGATGGTTGGTGATGTTAGATGATGGTTGGTGATGTGACGTGATAGTCGGGGACTCGGTTGTTCTTCCTCACCTCCAGTTCTGGTTCATCTTCCCGGCGCTGCAACAAAAAGCAAACGGGGGCCACTGTAACACGCTTGTCTACAAATACAAAGATCCCCCGTGTAGCCTGTAACAGACTGTAGGGGCAAGTGCTGTTAGCGAGCACCTATGAAGGCCGGCACGGTACACGAGGGGGTGTGTGGCCAGCACCACGCCCGGTCGCCTTTGTCTCCCCAGTGGCGATGTTTACTACACACCGCACCAGGTGACTCATTTGAGGCTGAGTCGATCTAGGGGAGGCCCAAGACCGGTTCAGAAAATCGCCGTGAACGGCAATCCAACTCGGTTTGCCACGTTCATAGCGCAGCGTAGCGCTAACCGCTGCACCACCGCTCTCCACCATGCACTCTCACTCACCTACCCACTCATCAATACTCACTCGACACCAACTCACCCAATTCTCAACGTCTCACCGCACGTATCGATGCACTCACCCAGCAAAGCACTCACCACCTCAATCACTCATTGGTTCACTCACTCACCAATCCCAATAACCACCTCACTCACTCACTGGTTCACTCACTCACTCACTAATCCCAATAAACACCTCACTCACTCATTAGTTCACTCACTCACCAATCCCAATAACCACCTCACTCACTCATTGGTTCACTCACTCACTCACCAATCCCAATAACCACCTCGCTCACCCATTGGTTCACTCACTCACTCACTCACCAATCCCAATAACCACCTCACTCACCCATTGGTTCACTCACTCACTCACTCACCAATCCCAATAACCACCTCACTCACTCATTGGTTCACTCACTCACTCACCAATCCCAATAACCACCTCAATCACCCATTGGTTCACTCACTCACTCACTCACCAATCCCAATAACCACCTCACTCACTCATTGGTTCACTCACTCACTCACTCACCAATCCCAATAACCACCTCACTCACTCATTGGTTCACTCACTCACTCACTCACCAATCCCAATATCCACCTCACTCACTCATTGGTTCACTCACTCACTCACTCACCAATCCCAATAACCACCTCACTCACTAATTGGTTCACTCACTCACTCACCAATCCCAATAACCACCTCACTCACTCATTGGTTCACTCACTCACTCACTCACCAATCCCAATAACCACCTCACTCATTAATTGGTTCACTCACTCACTCACTCACCAATCCCAATAACCACCTCACTCACTAATTGGTTCACTCACTCACTCACTCACAAATCCCAATAACCACCTCACTCACTCATTGGTTCACTCACTCACTCACTCACCAATCCCAATAACCACCTCACTCACTAATTGGTTCACTCACTCACTCACTCACCAATCCCAATAACCACCTCGCTCACCCATTGGTTCACTCACTCACTCACTCACCAATCCCAATAACCACCTCACTCACTCATTGGTTCACTCACTCACTCACTCACCAATCCCAATAACCACCTCACTCACTCATTGGTTCACTCACTCACTCACTCACCAATCCCAATAACCACCTCACTCACTCATTGGTTCACTCACTCACTCACCAATCCCAATAACCACCTCACTCACTAATTGGTTCACTCACTCACTCACCAATCCCAATAACCACCTCACTCACTCATTGGTTCACTCACTCACTCACCAATCCCAATAACCACCTCACTCATTAATTGGTTCACTCACTCACTCACTCACCAATCGCAATAACCACCTCACTCACTAATTGGTTCACTCACTCACTCACTCACAAATCCCAATAACCACCTCACTCACTCATTGGTTCACTCACTCACTCACTCACCAATCCCAATAACCACCTCACTCACTAATTGGTTCACTCACTCACTCACCAATCCCAAAAACCACCTCACTCACTAATTGGTTCACTCACTCACTCACCAATCCCAATAACCACCTCACTCACTCATTGGTTCACTCACTCACTCACTCACCAATCCCAATAACCACCTCACTCACTCATTGGTTCACTCACTTACTCACCAATCCCAATAACCACCTCACTCACTAATTGGTTCACTCACTCACTCACCAATCCCAATAACCACCTCGCTCACTCATCAGTGCATTAATTCACAAATTCAGTCACAAGCTCACCCGCCCATCGGTTCACTCACCACCCCCAATTTGTAGACTCACCACTCAACCCACACCATCACTACACTCACCACTCAACCCACACCATCACTACACTCACCACTCAACCCACACCATCACTTCACTCACCACTCAACCCACACCATCAGTTCACTCACCACCCCCAATTTGTAGACTCACCACTCAACCCACACCATCAATTCACTCACCGCCCCCAATTTGTACACTCACCACTCAACCCGCCCATCAGTTCACTCACCACTCAACCCACACCATCACTTCACTCACCACTCAACCCACACCATCACATCACTCACCACTCAACCCACACCATCACTTCACTCACCACTCAACCCGCCCATCAGTTCACTCACCACTCAACCCACACCATCACTTCACTCACCACTCAACCCACACCATCACTTCACTCACCACTCAACCCACACCATCACTTCACTCACCACTCAACCCACACCATCACATCACTCACCACTCAACCCACACCATCACTTCACTCACCACTCAACCCACACCATCACATCACTCACCACTCAAACCACACCATCACTTCACTCACCACTCAAACCACACCATCACTTCACTCACCACTCAACCCACACCATCACTTCACTCACCACTCAACCCGCCCATCAGTTCACTCACCCACCACACCATCACTTCACTCACTCACCACTCAACCCACACCATCACTTCACTCACCCACCACACCATCACTTCACTCACTCACCACTCAACCCGCCCAACACATCACTCACCACTCAACCCACACCATCACATCACTCACCACTCAACCCACACCATCACTTCACTCACCACTCAACCCTCACCATCACCTCACTCACCACTCAACCCTCACCATCACTTCACTCACCACTCAACCCGCCCATCACTTCACTCACCACTCAACCCCCACCATCACATCACTCACCACTCAACCCACACCATCACTTCACTCACCACTCAACCCACACCCTCACTTCACTCACCACTCAACCCGCCCATCAGTTCACTCACCACTCAACCCACAGCATCACTTCACTCACCATTCAACCCACACCATCACTTCACTCACCACTCAACCCACACCATCACATCACTCACCACTCAACCCTCACCATCACTTCACTCACCACTCAACCCGCCCATCACTTCACTCACCACTCAACCCACACCATCACTTCATTCACCACTCAACCCACACCATCACATCACTCACCACTCAACCCACACCATCACTTCACTCACCACTCAACCCACACCATCACTTCACTCACCACTCAACCCACACCATCACATCACTCACCACTCAACCCACACCATCACTTCACTCACCACTCAACCCACACCATCACGTCACTCACCACTCAATCCACACCATCACTTCACTCACCACTCAACCCACACCATCACATCACTCACCACTCAAACCACACCATCACTTCACTCACCATTCAAACCACACCATCACTTCACTCACCACTCAACCCACACCATAACTTCACTCAACCCGCCCATCAGTTCACTCACCCACCACACCATCACTTCACTCACTCACCACTCAACCCACACCATCACTTCACTCACCCACCACACCATCACTTCACTCACTCACCACTCAACCCGCCCATCACATCACTCACCACTCAACCCACACCATCACATCACTCACCACTCAACCCGCCCATCAGTTCACTCACCACTCAACCCACACCATCACTTCACTCACCACTCAACCCACACCATCACATCACTCACCACTCAACCCACACCATCACTTCACTCACCACTCAACCCTCACCATCACTTCACTCACCACTCAACCCTCACCATCACTTCACTCACCACTCAACCCACACCATCACTTCACTCACCACTCAACCCACACCATCACATCACTCACCACTCAACCCACACCATCACTTCACTCACCACTCAACCCACAGCATCACTTCACTCACCACTCAACCCGCCCATCAGTTCACTCACCACTCAACCCTCACCATCACTTCACTCACCACTCAACCCACACCATCAATTCACTCACCACTCAACCCACAACATCACTTCACTCACCACTCAACCCACACCATCACTTCACTCACCACTCAACCCACACCATCACATCACTCACCACTCAACCCACACCATAGCTTCATTCACCACTCAACCCACACCATCACTTCACTCACCACTCAACCCGCCCATCAGTTCACTCACCACTCAACCCACACCATCACTTCACTCACCACTCAACCCACACCATCACTTCACTCACCACTCTACCCACACCATCACTTCACTCACCACTCAACCCACACCATCACTTCACTCACCACTCAACCCACACCATCACATCACTCACCACTCAACCCTCACCATCACTTCACTCACCACTCAACCCGCCCATCACTTCACTAACCACTCAACCCACACCATCACTTCACTCACCTCTCAACCCACACCATCACATCACTCACCACTCAACCCACACCATCACTTCACTCACCACTCAACCCTCACCATCACTTCACTCACCACTCAACCCTCACCATCACTTCACTCACCACTCAACCCACACCATCACTTCACTCACCACTCAACCCTCACCATCAAATCACTCACCACTCAACCCACACCATCACTACACTTACCACTCAACCCTCACCATCACATCACTCACCACTCAACCCACACCATCACATCACTCACCACTCAACCCTCACCATCACTTCCTCTCACCACTCAACCCACACCATCACATCACTCACCACTCAACCCTCACCATCACTTCACTCACCACTCAACCCACACCATCACATCACTCACCACTCAACCCACACCATCACTTCACTCACCACTCAACCCTCACCATCACTTCACTCACCACTCAACCCTCACCATCACTCACTCACCACTCAACCCACACCATCACTTCACTCACCACTCAACCCTCACCATCACATCACTCACCACTCAACCCACACCATCACATCACTCACCACTCAACCCACACCATCACATCACTCACCACTCAACCCTCACCATCACTTCACTCACCCACCTCACCCACACCATCACTTCACTCACCACTCAACCCACACCATCACTTCACTCACCACTCAACCCTCACCATCACTCACTCACCACTCAACCCACACCATCACTTCACTCACCACTCAACCCTCACCATCACATCACTCACCACTCAACCCACACCATCACATCACTCACCACTCAACCCACACCATCACATCACTCACCACTCAACCCTCACCATCACTACACTCACCCACCTCACCCACACCATCACATCACTGACCCACCACACCATCACTCACCACTCAACCCTCACCATCACTCACCCACCTCACCCACATCATCACTCCCTCACCCACCTCACCCACACCATCACTCACTCACCCACCTCACCCACACCATCACTCCCTCACCCACCTCACCCACACCATCACTCCCTCACCCACCTCACCCACACCATCACTCACTCACCCACCTCACCCACACCATCACTCCCTCACCCACCTCACCCACACCATCACATCACTCACCCACCTCAACCCTCACCATCACATCACTCACCCACCTCACCCACCCCCCTCCGCTCTGCTCACCTCTCTCCCCGGGCGCAGACCCTGCACCTCCCCCTCCTCGCCGCGACTCTCTGTGCGAGCGACCACGGCCGCGGGGGTGACGACCCCCACGGCCAGCAGCAGCAGCAGCGGCGCCGCTACGGCGACAGCCGCAGCCACCGTGGCGAGCAGCGAAGACTTCATAGCTTGCGTGGCGAGAGCGGCAGCTTCACGACTCTCACA